TCCTACAACACAAACCCAAAAAATACTGCTGCTGCTGCTGCTGCTGCTGCTGCTGCTGCTGCTGCTGCTGCTGCTGCTTCTGCTTCTGCTACTGCTGCTAATGTGCAAATAGCCCTCGGCTGCCTTCAATTAGAAGGGTGGAGAGAAGAGAGCAGCAGCAAACAAAGAGATGCAGCAGCAAACAAAGAGATGCAGCAGCAAACTCACATCGTCAAGCTGCAGCACAAAGCAGAGACAAAGCACAAAAATAAAAATTTGTATTTCCCGCCCAAGTCCGGCTTAATAAACGCAATTAAATAAATTTATTTATTTATATATTTATATATTTATCTATTTATTTGTGCATTTATTTATTCATCTATATATTGATATATCCGTTTGTTTATTTATTTATTTATTGCTATATTCATTTGCTTATTTATTTATTTATTATTTGTTTATTTATCTATTTATATATTTATTTATTTAGTTTTGCTACCGTTAATATAATAATACTCACAAGTTGTGTTGTTACTGCAGGAGCAGGCGAAGATGATTCTGCATCTGCTGCAGCCGGGCGATGCTCCTCAGCTGCTGCTGCTGCTGCTGGGGGCTTCTTATCTGCTGCTGCTGCTGCTGCTGCTGCTTCTTGTTGCTTCTTCTTCTCTGCTTCTGCTGCTGCTTCTTGGTTCTTCTTCTTCTCTGCTGCTGCTGTTGCTTCTTGGTGCTTCTTCTTCTTCTCTGCTGCTGCTGCTGCTGCTGCTGCTGCTGCTGCTGGTGCTGCAGGGGGCCCCTCTGGTGGAGGAGGAGGGGGCCCCTCTGCTGCTGCCGGAGGTGCAGGTGTAGATGAAGACGTCACCGACTGCGTAGCAGAGGATTCAGCAGCAGCATGAGATGCAGTCTCAGCGCTGTTTGCTGTCGGTTGTTTAGGAGACTTCAAGGAGCCCCCTGAGTGCAGCGAGTTTTGAGAGGAACTGCTGGAAGGTAAAGGAGGCGGAGGTGGAGGCCAAGCGGAGGCATCGTCTTCAGGTGTATGTGCAGTTGACGGTTTAGAACCTGCTGCGGCTGCTGCACCTGCTGCTGCTGCTGCTGCACCTGCTGCTGCTGCACCTGCTGCTGCTCCTCCTGCTGATCCTTCTGATGCTGTTTCTCCTGCTGTTGTTGCTGATTCTGCCGCTGTTGATGCTGTTGTTGCTACTGTTGTTGTTGTTGTTGTTGTTGTTGTTGTTGCTGCTGCTGTTGCTGGTGCTGCTGTTGCTGTTGCTGTTGCTGTTGCTGTTGCTGCTGCAGCGTTTGTTGAGTGTTTATTATCGCTTACGTTATTTCTTTTTGTTGTTTTTTTATTCTTTTTACTTTGCTGTGTCTCAACATTTTTAGGGCTGTAAGGCTGCTGATGTCTTCGGCTGCTGCGGAAGACAGCAGGGATATCTACGCTGTCTCCCCCGCTGTTTGCTGCTGCTGCTGCTGCTGCTGCTGCTGTTGTTGTTGTTGTTGTTGTTGTCGTTGTAGTAGTAGTTGTTGTTGTAGTTGTTGCTGTTTCTGCTGCTGTTGTTTCTGCTGCTGTTGCTGATGCTGCTGTTGTTTCTGCTGCTGTTGTTTCTGCTGCCTCTGTTGCTTCTGCTGCTGCTGTTGTTGTTGCTGTTGTTGTTGTTGTTGTCGTTGTTGTTGTTGTCGTTGTTGTTGTTGTTGTTGTTTCTGCTGCTGATGCATTTTCTTCTTCTGTTGTTTTCTCTGTGGGAGCATTAGCTGCTGCTGTGTCTTGGGGTGTTGCTTCTTGCTGCTGCTGCTGCTTCTTTTGTTTGTTCTTCATCTGCTGTCGTGTTGTCTTTTACTTCATTCTTTTCCTCAGATCCACTGGCGGGTTTTTCAGTGTCTGTACAGTTGGATAATATAAATACAAATGCATTAAAATAAGCAATAATAATATTATTTTTATTATTAGTTTTATTAATAAGGCAGCAATAATCAAAGTAAGCAGTTCTTCTATTGCCCAAAGTGTATGAATAGATGCAATTAATTATAATTAATTAATTAATTAATTAATTAAATATACACACATATATAAGTATATATATATTAAATTTATATACATAGAAGGCTTGCTGCTTGTTGATTGCTAGGGACAGCCATCGACATCGCTGCATGCAGACAAATAATTAATTTATATAATATATTTTTATTTATATAAATACGAAGAAGAAGAACAAGCCGCTAAGGGCAGGAGACAGCTGAATTAAATTATTGCTGCAGCACCAGCACTGTCTTGTTTGTTTTTATTTAAAGATTAAGACTTACTATTATCTTCATTATTTTTTTCTTGTTGTGCAGCAGGAGAAGAAGTATTTAGGGTTCGACGCGCTCTAACAGCAGCAGCAGCAACACCTGCGACTGCTTTTGTAGCTGCTTTAGTTGCTGCTGCGTTTGTTGCTGCTGATTTTGCTGTTGCTTCTTTTGTTGCTGCTGACCCTGCTTCACGAGCTGCATGCGATACTTCGCGAGCATTTGCTGCCTCAAGCACAAGCGGAGGCATCAGAGATCCACCGAAACGCACTGTACGTGCAGCCCCTCCGCCAAGGGGTAGCGGCATAAGAGGGGGGATACCGAGAGGCCGTCTATTTGTTTTTTCTTCATCTTCTGCTTCATCTGAGCTAAACTCTGTAGGCCAATCATCTAATGGATCTGTGTCTTTGTTGCTGGTCTCTGCACTGTTGCTCGGGCTACCGCTTGGTGCGCTGTTAGAGCTCTCCGGTGTATCTGATGAAGAAGGCGCAGGAGGCGGAGGAGGAAAACCTGCAGTAAATAATTGTAATAATAATAATACAATAAGTGGGGAGGGGTGATAGGCCATAGCCTGCAGTGTTTCATATTTGTATGAAAAGCGTACTACATACATAGATACATACATACATACATATATGCATAGATGAATATGCATGGATGCTGGGTGGCTATCGAGGGAGCAGAGAAACAAGAGAAGGAAAAGAGAAGAAGAGAAAGGAAAAATAAATGCCTCTATTGTTATATCTGTGTGGTTGTCGGCTTACTTAGGTCTTTAGCGCTATCGAGGAGGGGTATATCGGATCTGTCTTCTGAAGCAAAGTAAAGGAGGTCACAATCGAAAAAAACAGAGAAATTGCAACTTAACTGAAGATTTCTCAATCATGAGAGGTCTCATTCTGCTGATATTAACGCAGTTTCCACCGAGATCACCGCATCTCTGACGCTGTGAAGTGGAAACAAGAAAGAAGTGCAAAACGGCGGAAAAGAGGCAGCATGCCGTCATAAAGAGGCAATTTATAGACTAATGAACGGATCTGCTGGTTTTTATAACACTTTTCCAGGTTTTCTTCAATGGAAACACCGGCATACAAATCAACAATGATGCATTCATCAGATCCTGTGGTCAGCTGCCCATACACCCCAGCGCCGCGGGAGGTGAAAACCGCGAAAGTGCAGAAAAAATCGCTCACCTGGTTTACAGACAACTTGGAGAGTGAAACTAAGGAGAAGAATTAAAAACAGCGGTGAAAAACGGAGAGGTTTCCACGACAGTCTGACCGCCCGTGCCTCCCGATCCGACGCATAGGCTGTGAATCTGCCATGGAAACGCTGCATTTTTTGTAGATCTACTTTGATTTATTCAATGGTTTCTGTTGTTTTGCAAGTCGGAGCCCTAGAAGTCGGTTTTTCGTCAGGAAATGCAACAAGCAGCTCAGGGCGACATCCCCAGTAGAACGCGTCGCCCGCAGCATCTCGCACAGACACAGCGGCCTTTAATAAGATATGAAAAAGCCTTAAAGTGTTGGCAAAGATGAATTTAGTTCCTTTTCTTTCAAGAATGTTGATAAAATATCAACATTCAAAATGCTGCTCTTCAGACACTTCGTTTCTCTTCATCTACCCGCCGGTTCGGCGGCCTTGAGTACTCCGGTCCATCCATCAATAGTTGCGGGGCCCGTTGATAGAGTTTGGGTGTATGTACGCTTTGAATAGGCTGATATAGCAAAGAACAGCAATATATATTTATATAAATTGGAATTGTTTGTCCTTGCGTTTATAATTCTTTAAAGCTTTACTAATTTCATTGACACCAACGGGCATAAGCGGCACGCTGCTCATAAACGGCTTCCATGCGCGCTCAGAGGAGAAGCGTTTGCATGCGGTACGGTAGTTGTTAGACTTCATTCATATGGAAAGCGTCATTAAAAGTATAATTAGCGCTAATTTTTGAGTTCTTCTCTCGAAATATTATCTTAAAAAGTGTATAATCGCCTCTGATTCTCCTTTTTAAGAGCGCTTTCCCTCAATTCAAAAAAATGATTGAAGTCATCTTAAACGATCGACTTGGACGCAAAATTCGAGTTAAATGCAACCCAGACGACACCGTAGGAGACCTGAAGAAACTTGTTGCTGCGCAATGCGGTAAGCTTTCATAATGCAGCATATATACACCCCAGTGTATATACACCCCAGCGTACATACACCCCAGTTTTCGTATGCTGCAGTGTATATACACCCCAGTTTTCATATATTGCAGTGTATATACACCCCAGTTTTCATTTGTTGCAGTGTATATACAGCGCAGAGTACATACATTGCAGTGTACGTACACTGCAGTATGCAAACACTGCATGCGCATACACTTTAGTGTACGTACACTGCAGTATACAAACACTGCAATGGAGATATACACCCCAGTGTTCATAGACACGTCAGTATATATATATATGTACATATATATATATATGTACACAATGTAAATATGTACTCAATGTAAATAAATATCGTAGTGTATATACACCGCACTTTGCCTTTGTACCCCAATGTTCGTACACCACAATCTGCATTTACACCCTAATGCTCCTCCCGATTTAAATATATATATATACATATATATATTATAATATAATACATATAGAAGTATTTGCCTTTGGTTGCATGCACAGCACATTTTGCTGCATTGTTGTGTAGAGGGTGAGGGTGTGGACGTAGTTGTTTTGATTGTGGGGTGAATAAAGTTTGTTTAATATTAAATAAATATGTTTGCATTGGGGTGTATATGCAGGTACACGTCCTGATAAGATCCGTATACAGAAGTGGTATACAGTGTATAAAGATCATATAACTTTAGAAGACTACGAAATTCATGATGGTATGGGTTTAGAGTTATATTATAATTAATTAATATTATTTGTTGCTGCTTTACTTCCTTTGTCTCTCTTGTTGTTGCTGCTGCTGCTGCTGCTGCTCTTTATACTCTATATACTATACCCTAGGCCAGCTGTCTATACACCCCACAGCAGCAGCAGCTTAAAGACAGCAAACTATCAAGAGCTTCACCACCCAATTTTTTATTCAACTTATATCATAATGCTTCTTTTTGTTTATTATTCAAGTTATTATTCTTCTGCTGGACTGTAGCAAAAGGGTTTTTGCTTCGTGAATAATAAATAATATAACAAACAAATACTCTTTCTTTTATTTTCTTTTTGTTGTATGTTTATAAGCGCTAATCAATTACTTAATCGACGTTATAAGAGAGAATAAGAAACAAAAGGAAGAGAGCAGCCGCATGAAAAAGTTAAAGAGGGTGTACAAAGCATCAAAAAGATTTTTCTCACTCTTCAGGTGTACAGACAGCTCCCTGCATGCGTTTGTTATAGGGTTTGTTTATCTGATTATTGTATATTTAGTTTTTATTGTTCTCTTTATCTTACTTGCTACTAGAGTGCTGCTACTGCTACTGCTAATTCTACTGATTATGAAAATAACAACAACAACAACAACAACAGCAACCACAACAACAATAATAATAATAATATTATTGCTGTACGAATTATGAAGTATGTATTGTAGAGAGATGCCTCCAGATGTTTATATTTTTATATTTTATTATTCAAAGCCCGCTTATTTACTTCTGCATATATATCCTCTCATCATATTCTGTGTAGATAAATAGATAGATAAATACATGTGCATTTAATATATATATATATACTTATTTAGTTATTTATTTTATGTTTGTACATATTACTTACAAGAACATTTGTACAGTCCACATACAGAGTATATTAACATATTTAAGTATTAAAATCTACGCATATGTACATATAAACATGTATACCTGCATATAATATATATATATATATATATAATATATATATATATATATGTTGAGTCTCTTTATAGAGTAACGCAGAGTTGTAGCGAGGCTGTCTATCCTTCTATAACAGACACGAAGATTAACTGTTGTATATATATCTAATATGTCTCTTTGTTTAATTTTTTTGTTTTGTGTGTTATGCATTTATATTATTTCTTTTATTTCTGAATCCCTTAACAAACAATTGAAGAAATTTATCATCGTCCGCTTAAACAGTTTTTGTTTTATTATTTTTTAGGTGTACGTACACCTGAAGAATTAGAGAAAAGTAAGAAAGAAAGAAAAGAAAGAATAAAACAAAAGAGACATCAAAAGAAATTGTTTGACGTTTGAATGCAGTTGTTGAGGCGTCTTCACAGAACCGTAGAAGTAGATAATTAAATAGATAAAATATAAAAATAAATAAATATATTATTTTTTTATTGCTGATGCCTCTCTTTTTTCTTCTCAATTTGTTGTCTTTGTTGTCTGCCGACAACAGAAGAATTGATAGAAAAAACAAATAAAAAGAATTAATTTAAAATAATTAAATTATTTTATTTTAATCGAATTAATTTAATTAGATGTATTTATTATTAGTTCTTTAATGCCTTTGAATAATAATAAAATAGTTAGAGAACAAACTTTTAATCAGCCTTTTGTTTGTTTCTCTTCTTTTCTTCGAGTCTGTATATACCCTGCAGCAATTGCAGAGTGTTATTTCTCTTTAAAAATATTATTTAAATACATATATATATATATATATTTGTATAGATAAATATATATATTTATATTATATATGTTCTTGTTGCCTTCGCTAGAAAATATTTATTGAAGCTGCACGTTTATTTCGTGCATGCAAAACAAAATCTTCTCTTCGTCTCTACGCCGCCCTCTCCTAATTTTATTATTAATTTTTTAAATTACTATTATTTTTATTACTAATTATTATTATTACTAATTATTATTATTGTTATTACTAATTATTATTATTATTACTAATTATTATTATTGTTATTGTTGCTGAAAGACGGCGAGAAATAACAAAGTCGATGCAAAGAGAAAAACTTAAAATGAAGAAAGAAGAAAAAGAATTGCTAAGAGACTCAAAGCAAATTTAAACGAATAATAAATAATAAGGAGAGAGATATATAATATATATTATATACAATATATTATACACCATATATACAATATGTATATATTGTATATAATATATAAAATAGTATATAATATATAAATATATAATATATAATATATATTGTATATATATCATATATTATATAATATATAAAATAAATAATATATTTTATATATAATATATATACAGCACTAGAGGTAGAAAGCAAGAAAGAGAGAGAGAGCCAGAGACAGAGAGCATGCAGTAAAAAAGGAGAAGTTGAAGAATAATAAATAAATAATAATAAATAAGATTTGTCTTAATATACTTGAATTGAGTTAAATATTTTAATTATCTTCTGCAGCCTTAACAGCACCCTCGGAGTATTTTTGAAGTAGTAGTTCCCGCGTCTCTCGCTGTCTATACACCCCGCTGCAATGCCACAGCTTCCAGGTGCGATCAAACCCTGCACTTGCAATAACCTCGCCTCCGCCTATATTATTATCAATACTCTCTGCTTCCTCTACACCCCTCTCTCCTTTGCTGCTGCAGTTGCTGCTGTTGCTGCTGTTGCTGCTGTTGCTGTTTGCTGCTGCATGCGATTCATCGGCCTCTTGTTTGCAAATTCTGTTTGAATCATCAGGGATAAAGACATCAATACCCATTACTTTACCGTCATGTGCCGGTAAACTCTTTTGAAGAGAGAAGTCTGTGCAAGACCAGACTTTAACTAATCCATCGAATCCTGCGGTGTATAGGCACCTCCCTTTAACAGCTTCAAACATGCACTCCGTCAGCATCTTTGTATGAGCAGGAATAGTTAAAAGAGGCGTTGAATTGCATACTGCTGCTGTCGTTCCTTTCTCTTTTGCTGCTGCAGCAGCAGCAGAAGATGCTGATGATGTCTTTCTTAGATCCCACAGCTTTACACAATTATCTTGAGACCCTGTTGCTAGCCAGTTTGCACAAATAGGGTGTATAGACACCCCAACTACTTGCTTAACATGCCCTGCTATATCTATTACTCCTCTGCCTACTCGTACATCTGTTATTTTTACTAATCCTGATATATCTGCTGTTGCTGCTAAAGAGCCGTCTGGATGAAAACAGATGCCGTATACACCGCACGAATGACCCTCCTACACGCACAACAAACAGTTAAGCATTTCCTTAGTTTATTTTACTTGCTTATTGTGCTTATTTATTTATTTATCTATATATATATATATATATATACATTATAGACAACACCTCATAGATGTATATATATATATATATATATATATTTGAGAGAAACAGAAAAATACAGCGAAAACAAACGAAAAAACATAAAACCCAACGGACAAAACCCAAACAAACAAACAAATAATTAAGCAAACAAACAAATAAACAAACAAAAAAACAAATAATTAAACAAACAAATAAATAAACAAACAAACAAACAAACAAATAAATAAATAAATAAATAAACAGCTATTTACCTGCAGCAGTATTTCTTTTTGATATTCGACATCCCAAAGTCGCCACGTCTCGTCGTGTGAAGTAGACGCCAAGACACGCCCTAACAAATAAATAAATAAATTTAATTAATTAATTAATTAATTAATTAATTAGTTATTCATTAACTAATTTAATCATCAAGCATGTTGATAAATAATCAGCTTGAAAATGCAAATAAATATATATAAAAATTATTATCATACTATATTTTTTATTTAACAAACAAAAATAAATAATAAATAAATAGACGCACCAGACAGGTATACTATAAATAATAGAAATAAATATATAATTAATATACAATACCAAATAAATATTAATTAATTAATGCAGACAAACAAACAATACTAAATAATAAACAACCACCGCAACACCACAATTAGTAGCAGCAGCAGCAGCAACAGAACCAGCAGCAGCAGCAGCAGCAGCAGCAACAGAACCAGCAGCAGCAACAGAACCAGCAGCAGCAACAGAACCAGCAGCAGCAGCAACAACAGAACCAGCAGCAGCAGCAGCAACAACAACAACAGCAGCAGCAGCAGCAACAGAACCAGCAGCAGCAGCAGCAGCAACAACAACAGCAGCAGCAGCAGGATGAGTGTAAGTGTGTGCTTTACCAGAGGGATGAAAGACAACGCGGTTAACTCTGTCTTCATGCCCCTTTAGTCTGGCTACTAACAATTTAAAAGAAGCATTTGCAAGAGAAGAAGAAGAAGCAGCACCTCCCCGCGCTAAACGCCCGACGTCAAACAAACAAATCGACGAATCCGCAGATCCACTGGCCAGTAACAAACTCTGCAACGAACACAGCCATATATATATATATATATTATATTATATTATAGTATAGTATAGTATAGTATAGTATATTATAGTATATTATATTATATTATATTTTATTAGATATTATTGTCACTGTTATTATCTTCACTGTTGCTAATATTATTATTATTATTATTATTATAACTATTATGATTATTATATTATTCTTTATCTGTATTTTTTTATCCTACCAACATCAAACTCCGCACACATTGCACAACAACAAACAAAACGCCTCCTAAGCCCCTCATCATTAATATAATTATAATTTAATAACAATAATAATAATAATAATAGCAACAATACTAACAACATATAGACGAAAATAACAATAATAACAACACTAACAACAATACTACTCCTAACAATAATAATAATAATAAAAACAATAATAATAATAATAAATAATATTATTATAAATTCGAATACGAGCAAACAAGTGCAGGGTTTGATTGAACATACGGTGGAGTGCTGCTGCCGCCAGGCGAGTGAATGGACGCGAGTTTGATGCGTCTTTAGCTGCAGCAGCAAGCGACCATCAGCAGGCCTCCAAAGCTTTATTGCTTCCCCCCACGAAGCAGTAGCTATTAACGACCCTAAATAACTGCTGCTGCTGCTGCTGCTGCTGCTGCTGCTGCTGGTGTTGCTGTGGTCGTGGTTGCTGCTGCTTTCCTCCTCCGCTGCTGCAGCTGTGTCGGCACCTCTTTCTGCAGCAGCAGCAGCAGCAGCTGCTGCTGCTGCTGCTGCTGCTTCCGCAGCAATAGGACATGAAGGAGCGAACTTGCAGCAGGTGAGAGGTCTCTCATCTCCAATGACAGAAGCAGAAAGACTAAGTTTATGCTGCAAATATTTGTTAAAAAAATGCATATCAATGATAGGGCTGTTGTGAGGAAGAGCAGATAGACAGCGCTCGTGCTGCAGCTTCTTCACATGCTGTCTGTACAGCTGCTCCTGAGGTAGGCGCTGCTGTGCTGCTTTAATACTATCAGCAGCAAGAAGACGTCGCATGTGCAGCAAACTGCTGCTACCTTCTGTGTAGAATATCCCTTCAATTTCTTCTTCTTCTGCTGCTGCTTCGTCTTGCTGCTGCTGCTGCTGCTGCTCCGCCTCCTCTGCCTTAGGTTGCGGCTTCCGCACTGCTATCACCCGTGCAGCAGGCTGCAGCACCTGCGGTGTACTGACAGCAGCAGCAGCAGCAGCAGCAGCATCAGGAATAGTACGGCCTTCTGCTAGCAGCGCCTTTAGACGCGACCGACGCTCAAAGGGGCCTTCGCCAAACAAAGTCATCGGCTCTCCCATGCGTCTGCAATCAGCAAATCATAGTAACTCTATTAACATAGATAAATATAAATATAAATATAAATATAAATATAAATATAAATGCATATATATGTGTAAGCGTAGATAGAAATATATACATATATATATAATTACAAGTATAAATGTAAACAAAGATTTTATCGTAAATGTAAATAGAAATGTATTAATAGTTAAACTGATATATAAAGAAAAATGTATAGCAAATATATATACAATTAAACAATAATTATATAAGACACTTAATGAACAAACAAAGCAGTAAAAATATAAAAACGGATAAACAAGCTGATAGGAGAGCTCGAGGCAGAGGCGAAGAGCAGAAGACAGACGGCAAAAGGAGAATAATAAAAGAAAAGACAAACAAACAAACTTAAAAAAATTAAAATAACACATTTGTGTCACCTGAGGGCATCTCGAACTTCAGCATCAATCGTAGGAGCGACAGTTTTGAAGGATGTTGCGGTTTGCTGCATTTGAAAGGCTTTCAGTCTCTCTGCATGTTGGTTGTTTTCTTCTGCTGCAGCTACAGCTGCTTCTGCTGCTTCTGAAGCTGCTGTTGTTGCTGCTGTTCCTGCTGCTCCTGCTGCTGCTGGGGAGGTGTTGCTGCCGATAGGGCCGTCTTCCAAAACTGCTGCTGCTGCAGCATCACAAGTTTGTGTTATTTTCCCGTAGTATAAATGAGATTTCTTCTCCTCTGAACCCGCAGGGGACTTCACCCCTCCTACCCCGGGGGGAGTAGGGCGGCTGGAAGGGTCAGCCATTGCAGAGCAACTGCTGCTGTTCTTGCTGCTGCTGCTGCTGATGTTGCTGCGCCAGCGACCGGGGCTGCTGCTGCTGCTGTTGGGAGTGTCGTGTGCACTGCGGGAGATCTGTGTAGATCAAAACAAGCGAGGAAGAAGGCGACAAATTTGAAATAAAACAATCAAAGAGCCCGCCGCAGCAGACGCGGCGAGGCCGGTGCCCTCTGAAAGTGAGAGAAGAAGTAAAGAAATGCCTCTTTGAATAAATCCAACAAAACTCCCGGTCCCCAGAATGGTAGACCAAAAGAGGCTAAGAAGTTAATACCTTGCTCGCTACCTTTAAACGCAAGGCATTCTCTCAAGGGGGGGAAAGGGTTTTGCATGCGCTACAGAATGGCAGCCAATTCGCGTATTTGCATGCGGTGGAAAGCCCCGAAAAAATGCTGCCCTTAAAAAAGGTAATGATAGAGTTATATAATTAAATAGTAAAGATTCAGACTTTAAATTCGCCATATTTCCACTTGAGCTTGTTCGATTTGCAGCTCATTGTTCCCGCTGTTTGTTCCGAGTTTCCCGCTATTGGCGGGAGTCGACCGCCAAGAAAATATTAATAAATGAATAAAACAATTGCAATTTTCTTTGTTTTTCATTATGAAATAATGCTTAAAAGATGATTGCACCGCGAATTCTACACGCGGCAGCAAACTGCCGGCCCTCAGCGCCGAGCGTTTTGCAAAATTGTTCAAAATCCTCCAGGTGTATGTACACCTCAGAATTGGGTTTTGGTAATCGGTGTTCAAATTTTCTTTTTTCAGTTGGAAAGCTGCATGGTTTTGCGAGTTCTTCCTCATTAGGACAATTAAATACCCCTTCGTTTTCAACTTACACCTGGAAATCGAAGTTCGACGACATTTTAAAGCAGGTTTCCACTCAAAAGATACCAAAAAATGCAGCGCAAAGCCCTACACCATCCCCAGGAAATTCCTTATGTTGGCTGCGCCCTTCGGCTGTTCGACTCGCGAAGGTCCGTCTTAATGACTCTCTTAAGAAAACAAATTCTTTAAAATGCCGCTGTGTTTGTTGTAATATCTTGTGTTGTCTTGTGTTGTGTTGTGGTTTGGTACGTGGGTTTATATCAAACGAGTCAATTTCAGCAATTTCAGAAATTAGATTTAATCGTCCAGCAACTGGTAGTGGGGAGTCTGCGCGAGTTTTGTGTTCGTTTCCTCATCAACGTCATCCACTGTTGTTCAATGTTTATGATATGAGGAATTGTTTGTGTGAATATCGCTTTCTTTAGTGTTGCATCTAATTGGTTTTTTTAAACAAGTGTTTCTGCTGCAGATGGGGCCCAGCAAAGGCCGAGGCCCTTTGATTGCAAAGTTTGCGCCTGTGGGTTTTAAAAAGGGTTTCGGAGCCGTCGGTTTAGGAAAACATACAAAGAAAGGTACGGCATGCATGCATTAATGTCTGCACGCGCATGCACTGTATGCAGCTTCAAGGTGTCTTTACACCAATTTTCTGTCGAATTTGAATTGAGGGGTTTTAAGCCACCGACAAATTTTATTTATTTCAGTGCTCTTCACTGGCTGTAGCAGAGTCGATACACCCCAGCGGTCTTCTTCGCTCTTCATTTGTTTTGATTGTAATTTGTTTTTATTTTCAACGACAACTCGCGTATATGGGTTTACGCCTTTAGACGGAAGTATTCTTTACGCACATGAAAATACACACAAACAAGCAATGCACACACATATACATACATATAAATAAGTAAATAAATAAATAAATATATATATATATGTATATATATAATATACAGTTTATGTATATATATATATGTTTATATTGTTATTTTTTGTCTTAGGTTTTTTCTTGATTAATTCGATGTTAGTCCCTAAATATCATTTCCCAAATCTGCAGGATTTCCCGGTACGAAATTCTTTTTTAGATTTTTTTGTTTTTGTTTGTTTTGGTTTTGTCGTTTTGTCTTTTATTTCTTTCTTCTTGTTTTGCAGAATCTACCTCTTGCTCTTTCTCCAATATATATATATACATATATATATATGTTTATTTACTTAATTATATATATATCTGTATTCGCAAGTGTATATTTGCTGCATTTACTTCCTGTATATCTATATTTAATGTACATATGGATAGGTGTATATATATATATATATATACATATATATATATATATTTATTTACTTATTTGTTTATTTATTTATTTGTTTATTTATTTATATATTTGTGTGTGCGTTCAGCTGAAGCCTTACGTTTGCCCGCAGACGTACAAAATCGCCTCGCAGACTTTCTGGACGGCAGAGGAGGAAACTTAAAAGAAATAATAATAATTAATTAAATAATTAATTAATTAATTAATTATGTTAATTCGTTGTTTGCTCTTCTTATTATTATGTTTGGTGGCGCTACACAGGAGGACAAGCCGAAGAAAACCTCTTCTTCATTTTTTCTGAATTGTTGTTGGTTTTCGTTGCTTTATGCAAATATGTTAAAATATATATATATATATACATCAACAGGGTAATATAGACAACAGATATATATATATATATATACATATATGTATATATATATATATACGCATATATAAAACTTTTTTTTTAGAGTTTTCAGTGGCTGTTGGTAAGACCGGGATTTGCATCTGTTGTGTTTGAAGTGCATTGACTTCTATTGCTTTCTTCTATCAACTAATCTCTTATCCGTTCGCCTTAGTTATATAATTTAGGGTGTCTATATATATATTTGTAGATATAGATACAGATATAATAGTAAAATATATATTTAATTTGGTTAGAGTTGTTCATATACCCCAGCCCCCAAATCAATACCCTTCAAGAGTTGTTTTTTCAAGAGACATATTCCGTCGGATTAAAGGCGCCAGTACATATATATATATATATATATATGTACAGACATATACATACATATAGATATGCATATGTATATGTAGACATACATATATATCTGTATATATATTATATACAGATATATATACAGATACATATATATAATTATATATACACATTTAATGGATGTAGCTGAAATATTTCATTAAAAAGATATTTCTGTTGCGTTGAGGAAACTGCTGAATTTGTCGTAGATGAAGGAAGGCGTAATTTAATGGCTGAAGACTTCATAATTGCAGAAGAAATAAACATTTAAATTAATAAATATTTAAATAAATATATAAAACATTTTTCAACAATCATTTAATTGTATTATATTTACCCTCATTCTCCATCTTACAATTCAGGTGTACATGCAGCTTTTTCCTTGGGTATTTTTTTATTTTTCAATTTTTCTTTTATTTGTACGTGGCATTTAATTGTTTTTCGTTTGTTTATTGTTTTTTTCTTGTTTCTTCTCTTCTTTCTCTCGCCTTATCCACTCTTTTAGATGCCCTCCTTGTGTTTTGGCTTCTCCTAGGGTCGGCATTTCATATTCAATGTTCATTTCTTTAAGTTTCTGCATTTTCTTTTTTAATTTTCCTTCAACAGCCTCCACTCCCCTAGCAGAGGGTCTAGTACCATCAGGTTTATTGTGTTTTTTTGCTTCTCTTCTTGCTGCAAGGATCTGTCTATACGGCCCTATTACTCTCTTCTTTTGATTGAAGACGTGCGGGTGTACGGTGTTTCTATCAATTACTCTGCACACCAATGTACGCCCAAACATACGATAGTTGTTCATAGTTTGTGCAGCAACTTCAGCTACTTCTTTTAATGCAAATTCAATTAATGCATAGCCTTTGCTTCTTCCTGTCTTTACACTTCGAAATAAACGAACACTACAAATACCTCCGAACTGTTTAAAGAAAGCTCTCAGCTGATACTCCATAAACCCATCGGGGAGATGACCGACGTAGAGTACACCTCTTCGTGCTAATGCTTTCTTTTCTTTTCTTTTCTTTTCTTTTGACTTCTTTGATTCTTCTTCTTTTAAAACCCTTGCAGAGCCTGAAACCCGCTTCCTATTCCTATTCGCACGCCCTCCTTCTCCTGCTTCTGCTGCACTTGCTGCTGCTGCTGCTTTATCTGATCCCGTTGCTGCTGCTGTTGCTGCTGAAGCTTCAACACCATCAGAGGCTGCAGTATCTGCTGAAGCATTTTCTGTGGCTTTGCTACTTTTATGTTTTTTGTTTATTTTCTCCTTTTCACCTTTTTTGTTGTTGGGCTTCGCTGCTTTGGGGGCTTTGAGTCTGCTTTGCTGCGGTTTAAGAGATGAATCTGCTGCTGTTGCTGTTGCTGCTGCTGCTTTCTTCTTCTCTTTTTTGTTAATAGCACGACTTGAGGGAGAAGTGGAGGCTGCAGCAACGGCAGCTTCCTTTAAAGACTTGGCAGATGAATCTGCATTAATTTTAATGTTTTTTGTTTTTGTTTTTTTATTTTCTTTGTCGCTAATCCCTGCAGAAGTCGAACGCAGTTTTGCCTCCTTCTGCGTTTTAGCCGTCATCTTACGCGTTAGTTTTTTAAAAATAATGGAGATTTTTCAGAAGAAAAGAACTGCGAGCCGCCGATATGCCTGCGGTGTACATACACCTCAAAGGCAGCAAACAGAGGGAAGCAGACCCAAATAAATGCATGCGTTATGATGAATGAAGGCGGCTTGCACTTCAAATAGAATAAAATATAAATAAAAAAGAGAAAAGAAAAAAATTCAAAGAAGAAGATCAAAAAAATCAAACAACTCAACGAAAAAAAGAATGAAAGCTTCGCGATATGCATGCATGCATAAAGAAAAACTTTAAGAGAAAGTGAGTGGAAAATAAAACTTTTTTCCTTCCTTTTAACTCTAAAATAAGAAATTAAAAGCCGTTTATTTATAATATAAATTAATTCTTTTATTTTTCTCTTTTTTTCTAATACTTACACGCAAGAAAGCTGCGTATACACCCCACGGGGCCCTGCTTCAGCCCCGCATGGTAGATGTTATTTTTTGCAGGGACTCTCTGTCTTTTTTTTGAAATTTAAATTTAAATAAAATATATTTTAATTATG